GGAGAGGCCACCACCTTTCGTGGGAGTCTGTTGCACTGCTGAACAGCTCTTAATGTCAGAACGTTTTTTGAATGATTAGTTGGAATCTCCTTTCTTGTAACTTGAAACCAGGAGATTCTTCAGTCGAGATTCCTGCATTGCAGAGGGTTGGACTAGATGACCCTTGGGTTCCCTTCCAACTCTACAGTTTTATGATTCTATATGCAGTTTTACTTATTTGGTATTTATCTATCAATCGCCTCTCTATCCATCCATCTATACAGAGGAGCATAGGGGACAAAATAGTAAAAGGTGGGGTTAAATGGCAATGAAAGTGGAAACAATGTAATAATTAAATTAAAACCCATCAGTAAGTGGTGGTGATACTATCATCATCATGACTAACAGTGCAATTCTTCGTATGTCTACTCAGAAGTAAGGGGTGGTATTCAACTAAATTCTAGCCAAAGTAGACCCATTGGCATTAAATTAGCCATGTTCATTCATTTCAATAGGTCTACTCTGAGTATAACTTAAGTAGGCTACAACACACTAATTTTATCATGCTGTTGCATGTGTTTGCTTGGAACAGTAATACACAAAAAGCTGATTCCATTAGATTTGGCTAATGTTGCCTCTATTCAACTTGCCTAATTTGAGTTCTGATTGGTGTCCATTAATTACCTGAAAGAGCATCTCCACCTCCATCATCCAGCCCGGACACTAAGGACCTCCTCTGAGGGTTTTCTGGCGGTTCCCTCACTGTGAGAACAAGTTTCTAGAGACTAGATTATGAGTCTTTGTAAGTTGTGTTTCTAAAGGAACTTTTGTTATTGCCAAATGCCAATGTGTTTGCATTATTAAGTTTGTTATGAATAAAAATCATTTTAAGTTAGAGCTTGATAATTATTTCACTATTAATATACTTCTTCTTAATTGTATTTCACTATTAATATACTTCTTAATTGTATTTCAGTTCAACAATTACTTTGATAAAATACAAATGTTGTTATTTGCAAATGGCTTTAGATAGCTATTAGGTCCATAAATTACCATGTAGCATACATTCAACACAAAAAAACCCAGCAACAATTTGTTGTTGACAAAAGACAGCTGGATATATAAAGGGCCCCATTACCTTCAATAGCTTAGGGCATCATCAAACCTAAATCTGGCCCTGCACAACCCATTTGCAAGGATAATACAAGATCAATCTCAAATTGTGAAGCAGCCTGTGAAACAGTCAGAAAAATGGGATACTCTTCCACAGGTGGAGAAAACTCTGGAGAAACTGGAGAGCAGGCTTTGGTGGAACACGAGATCAGACCAAAGGCCCTCCATTCTTACAGTGACCAGCTAGATGCCAAATGGAAACTCTTAAGTTTGCTGCAGTAAAACAAACCACAACCCCTGGTTTGGAAGCCATACATGCTTTGCCTGAGTTGTTTCTTCCATTCAAGGAGCAACTAGCCCAGATAAGCAAGTTCATGGGAAACTATTAGCAGATTGAGGTTGAATCCTGACAAGACAAAAGTACTGTTTTGGGGGGACAGGAGATGGGAGGGTGTGGAGGACTCCCTGGTCCTGAATGCGGTAACTGTGCCCCTGAAGGACCAGGTGCGCAGCCTAGGAGTCATTTTGGACTCACAGCTGTCCATGGAGGTGCAGGTTAATTCTGTGTCCAGGGCAGCTGTCTACCAGCTCCATCTGGTATGCAGGCTGAGACCCTACCTGCCTGTGGACTGTCTTGCCAGAGTGATGCATGCTCTAGTTATCTCCTGCTTGGACTACTGCAATGTGCTCTATGTGGGGCTACCTTTGAAGGTGACCCGGAAACTGCAATTAATCCAGAATGCGGCAGCTAGACTGGTGACTGGGAGTGGCCGGCGGGACCACATAACACCAGTCCTCAGAGATCTGCATTGGCGAGGGACGCGGGTGGCGCTGTGGGTAAAAGCCTCAGCGCCTAGGGCTTGCCGATTGAAAGGTCGGCGGTTCGAATCCCCGCGGCAGGGTGCGCACCCGTCGTTCGGTCCCAGCGCCTGCCAACCTAGCAGTTCGAAAGCACGTCAAAGTGCAAGTAGATAAATAGGGACCGCTTACTAGCGGGAAGGTAAACGGCGTTTCCGTGTGCTGCGCTGGCTCGCCAGATGCAGCTTTGTCACGCTGGCCACGTGACCTGAAAGTGTCTCCGGACAGCGCTGGCCCCCGGCCTCTTAAGTGAGATGGGCGCACAACCCCAGAGTCTGGCAAGACTGGCCCGTACGGGCAGGGGTACCTTTACCTTTACCTTATGTTTCCGAGCACAATTCAAAGTGTTGGTGCTGACCTTTAAAGCCCTAAACGGCCTCGGTCCTGTATACCTGAAAGAGCATCTCCACCCCCATTATTCAGCCCAGACACTGAGATCCAGCACCGAGGGTCTTCTGGCGGTTCCCTCACTGCGAGAAGTGAGGTTACAGGGAACCAGACAGAGGGCCTTCTCGGTAGTGGCACCTGCCCTGTGGAACGCCCTCCCTTCAGATGTGAAGGAAATAAGCAGCTATCTTCTCTTTAAAAGACATCTGAAGGCAGCCCTGTTTAGGGAAGTTTTTAATATTTAATGCTGTATTGTTTTTAACACTTGATTGGAAGCCGCCCAGAACAGCTGGGGAAACTCAGCCAGATGGGCGGGATATTATTATTATTATTATTATTATTATTATTATTATTATTATTATGAAAGACAGGTCACTATTACGATCCCTAGATTGCCATTGGGAATGTGCTGTGGCTGAGCCTTGAATGAATTACTGTGTTCATCCATTGACCATAGCAGGAAGTGACTGAGCAGAACCAACCAGATTCAGTGCAGCCTGGCTCTGGGTGCGAAACCAAGGGGGTGCTGCAGGTGACACAGAGCATGTGCAGACCACAAAGAAAAGGTCCAGGTGGGGGCAAAATATGGCCTTGCACAGGGCGCCGCTGAAATCTGGAAGACTGAAGTCCGCCTCTGAGATGAGCCTTTCACAAACTTGCTCTTCCATCCACCCTTCTTCTGCCCTCTAGGACAACCCAGTTCAGCTCCCTACATTCCACTCCACATGGACATTGCAGGGGGTTGGACTAGATGACCCTTGGTGTCCCAACTCTACAATTCTACGTTTCTAACACACACAGGCAACCTTGCATTTGTGTTGCCCATAAGGTAACTCACCAGAGAGCTCAAGGGTCAACTGAAGGTGGTGGGAGGCAGATTTTCGCCTCTCCCTGGAGTTCCTCCCTTGTGCCTTGACTCTTTTAATTGGAAGCAGGTGGTGGCAGTGAGGTGGAGAGGGCTCAAATATTCACGTTGCATTTAGAAGTTCCTTGTTTGGAGAGAGAGAGAAAATTCCAATAAAATGTGTGTGTTAAAAATCCTCTCTCCCCATGGAACTTTGCCCAGGCCCACACACCACTAGGAGCTGCCACATTAAAATACCCATCCAGATATAATAACTTATAGGTTTATGCATCTTTTGGTCTTATTGGCCCCTCTGAGAGGCAATTCCCATTTTAGAGAGAAGGAGCTGTGGCTGGGAAAGCAAGGGCTTCCTCAAGAAGTCCTTCCTCAGGGTCACAGCTGATCTGAGGGTTTAATCAGCTCTTCTGCAGTCTAAGCTCCACCTCTTGGTATCAGAAGGTCTCACAGTCATGCTGCAGATCCTCTGCTAGGCCTCCTCTGAATTCAGCGGGCTTACTTCTGAGTAAACACATGGAAGATAAAGGAGCCTAGATACCAAGCCTGTCATCACATCCTTTTAGCACTTTTCCACCATCCCGGTTTCCGTGCCAACCCAATCTTAGCAACAACCACAAGGGCTCTTTGGTAATGACTTGGCCTTGGCTTTGCATCCCTCAAATGTGCCTTATTTTGACAATAGTTACTATAAAGCGTAGTACAGTGGTACCTCAGGTTAAGTACTTAATTCGTTATGGAGGTCTGTTCTTAACCTGAAACTGTTCTTAACCTGAAGCACCACTTTAGCTAATGGGGCCTCCTGCTGCTGCCGTGCCGCTGGAGCACAATTTCTGTTCTCATCCTGAAGCAAAGTTCTTAACCTGAGGTACTATTTCTGGGTTAGCAGAGTCTGTAACCTGAAGTGTATGTAACCTGAAGCGTATGTAACCCGAGGTACCACTGTATTTATCTTATAAAGCATAGTATTTATATAGCACTTTCTTTGCTGACTTGCGTTCAAAGAAATAAGAACTGGCCTGCCAGCCATATCCCTCTGGAAAACTAAAGGAAAGGTGTGAAACTAATGGCATTTCCCCATTGATTGCTCCCAGCACCTGATCCTTAGAGATATACTGCCCCTATACATGGAGGCTCCCTTCAACTCTCTTGGCTTAGGTTCCTAGCTGTTGATCGACTGGTCTTCCCTGGATTAATCTGCCCCCAGTATATCTGAATTAATATAAGAATAACAAACTGCTTTGAGGGTTAAAAACAAACAAGTTACTGGTTTGTTTTAATTATGTATTTTTTATGTTGTATTTTTATGTTGTGAACTGCCCTGAAATCTACAGGTGAAGGACTAATTAATAAGAAGGAATTTTAAAATTTTGTTTCCAATACGGCAGACCAACGCGGCTACCTACCTGTAACTAACAATAATGATATATTTATATGATGCCCATCGACATACAAATTTAATAAATAAAATACTGAATAAATTGACATTCAATGCTCTTTTTTAAATGTGGTGAGGAGGGAGGGGGTTTATTGGGTTGTTTTTGCTTTTATTTATCTCATATATTTCCTGTTTTTACAGTGTACTTTTATGTTACTGCGGGTCTAGGGCAGCATACAAATTTTATAAATAATAATAATTATTATTTAGAAGTTAGGAAATAAATTGCGAACGAGGGTCTCCATCCTCCGACCTCCCGCCCCTCCCTCCCGCCCCGCCCAGCAAATTGGACCCCCTTTTAACATGATAATGACTGGGGAAGTCCTGCCTGCAGCCCATAAAAGATCCCCCAGGGGATCGCGGTCGCTTCGGTGATCCAGCCACGCTTCCGAAGGGTCCCCCCGGCTCCTCCATCCATGAGCATCCCACTGGCCCTCAATGCCTCTTACCGGGTCTACCCTACAGGGGTGGTGGCCCCCGCTGACATGGGCTACGACGGTTACTACTGGCCCTCGGTGAAGGAGGAGATGGAGCCGGGGAGCTGTTCGGGGGGGTTCCCTGCCCCCGAGGCTGTTAACGGCCCGGAAGGGAAGGGCCCCAGCAATAACCCAGGTAAGCGGATCTCCTAGGAAAACGCGCAAAGGAGGTTGCAGCCCTCTTTGCTTAAGTCTCTTAAAGCCCCTTCACCCAGGAAAGCTGACTCCATTGCATCAGGGTTACCCCAAACATGGGTCTCTAGCTGTTCTTGGGGTATCGTTCCCATCATCCCTGACCACTGGTCCTGCTAGCTAGGGAGGATGGGACTTGGAGTCCAAAAAACAGCTGGAGACTCAAGTTTGGGGAGCCCTGCATTTACTGTACAGAATTCCCTTTCTCAGTTAAGCAATTCTTGCAGCGAATGCAAAGCTTGAAATTCGCAAACTGTGAAGCAGAAAAATATACAGAACCCTTTTGAATGCAAAAGTTGGGCATTTCCTCCCTCGCTTGGTTTTAATGCACCTAAGCGGGGTTGCTTGTACGGAAGTCGCTTGGGTTTGCCTTGGGCAAGATAAAGCGATTAACAAATTTAGTAAGTAATACAGTAATGATGATGATGATTTCGATGGGGGTCCTTTAACCGAATTTGGATTGTGGCCTTTTCCATGATAGGCTTGGGTGATGTGCACGGCAGTAGGGCGTAGTGGGTAGAGGGGGTTGAACCCGGAGACCGGGGTTCAAAGGCTCGCTTAGCCATGAAACTCTGGGTTTCACCCCCGGACTCTTCCTACCTCACAGGGTTGTTTTGAAGGATAAAATGGGGAGGGGGGGGAGCCATGTCCACCACCTAGAACGCTTTGGAGGAAAGCCAGAATAGAAACGCAGTAGAAAAATAGAAATGTTTCCTCGGGAGCCCATTTTGCTGACTGCGCAGGGAGCAGGTTGCAGGTGCGCAGCCGGATCCTATGCGAAGCTAGGTGCGCGGCGCCTAATTGGGCTAAAAATGTTATGGATCTGGATTTCCAGGCCAGCGCAAAAGCCCTGCCGCTGGTGGAGAGGAGGTATTCAAGGAACAATTGCCTGGGTTTGAAACTGCCCCTTAACTAGGGAGCAAAACAGGGTCAGTGCTAGGAGTTGCTGCCTAGCCAAAGAAACCGCTTTCTGGCCGGAGAAGAAGGCGCTCACATCAGCACCACATTTAAAACGCAGGGCTTTTTCCTCCTCCCCGCCCCAAGGCTACCCTTATCTCTTAACCTGGATTATTACTGGGCACAAATCGCTCAGTTCCCAACATTTTGCGGACTCGAAATGTGAGCGCGATCCGGGTATCAACTCGTTAATCCTGCCCTTCCCTCTTGTTACGAACGTGAATTTTGCCGAAGCATTTTGCAAGCCAGTTACATACCAATCAGTGTTGTGCAGTCATTTAAGGTATGATTGTCCTAAGCAAGAATTAAAGCATTGCTTACATCCAGTTCATTAGTGTTCTGCAGTCTAGTGATGCTAATGAAAACTGTTAATTGGTGGGCGTGGTCTGTTGGTCCTGGAGATGAGCAATGCAATCCTAGCAATGTTTACTCAGGTGTAAGTGCTATTTAATTTACCTGGGCTTAGTCCCATGTTGGTGAAGTTAGGATTTGCAGCCTGTTGAAGGTTTCCTTTTATGTTTCTATGTTCAGAGTGTGCAAACTTTCAAATATCACAGGAGGTCTGAGAAGTAGATAGTTTGATCTTGCCTGATGCAAAGGTTCTATATAGAAAGTTTGTGTACTGTTTCATAAAACTTATTTATCAAACACTTTTTGCATTCTGGCTTTTTAAGCACCGTTCTGCCCTTATTTATCCTTTGCATACTGTCTCTGCTTGATTCCTAGATCTCTCCCCAAGGTCTTCCAGCTCTGGGATATTCACTTATTATACACCAGATTCTGCAACCAGCCCCAACAAGCCGCCCCCCTCCCCAGATCTGACTTCTACTCCCCAGCGGTGCAAGGAGGAAAGTAAAGGAGGCAAGAAGAGCAAGAACCGCACGGCTTTCTCTCAAAGGCAGCTGCAGGTCTTGCACCACAGATTCCAGATGCAGAAATATCTCAGTCCTCAACAGATCCGAGAACTGGCCTCTGCCTTGGGACTCACCTACAAACAAGTAAGTGTTTTGCTGAAGCAGGGCAGGGTCAGGCCGGGAGACCTTTGGCCTGAATTTTTAAAAGATTTGCTCTTGTTGCACTTGACTTTCCAGAGTCAGAATTCCAGTTGTTCTAACTGGTGGCGGCTCCTGCATAAGCTGTCTTGAGATCCACCTTTTCTGTCTTGAGATCCACCTTTAATATTTGTCTGGCACACTTCTGATTGTGTATGCCTCAGTTATTTGAGCCTTCCTTCCTTCTCTCCTTCTACAGCTTCCTTTCTTACATAGTTTGCTTTATTCTTTCTTGGTGGCGTGCAGAATTGTATTTGTTTCCTTGTGTTTTAACTGCCATGGCTTCTCTGAGCTTCCCTGGGAGTTCTAGTTCGGTGCTGAACTGCAACAAAATGCTGCAGTGCGGCGTTATCTTAATTAGTCATTTAATCTTTTGCTTCCCCATCGCAACAGACTAGTCAAAATTCCATGGCACACTTTCAGTTCTCATTAGGCTGTTTTTGAGGTCCTTCGTGTTTTATGCACTGTGACTTTGCTGTTTGTTTTCTGATATTTAATTTTATTGGGTACTATTATATTCTAATGGGTTTATTTTAAAGTTACGTTTTTATTATTATGACATTTTTGTATTGGGTCAAATTGTTATAAGGTGTGCAATCTTTGTTTCTTCTGCTTGTATACCGTCTTGTGTATAGTAATATAGAAAAGCGGTATACAAGTTAAAAATGAAATGAAATTGCATGCAAGTAGTGCCAATTTGGTAACAAATCTCCACCTGCACATTAAAATGGAGGGGATGGCCGACTCTCTACTCACCTGCACAGAACTCCCAGAGATCTCTTGAGAAGAAGGAATGCCAAGTTCATTCTAACAGTGGCGTAGCGTGGGGGGTGCAGGGGGGGCCGGCCGCACCGGGCGCAACATCTGGGGTTAGGGCAAATCCACGGGTTAGGGGGCGCAAATCCACGGGTTAGGGGGGGCAAATTACTTGCCTTGCCCCGGGTGCTGACAACCCACGCTACGCCGCTGCATTCTAAGCCTGTTGTATGAACATGCTCACTGGGTGAGCTTTTTTGCCTTCGCGGCTGACAGTGTAAAGATCTGAGTGTGTGTTTTGTGAGTGGTGCAAATACACCTTTGCATGGATTGACTACGAATGAAGGAAGTTGCTTATCTTGTACTGTGTATTTCAGATAAAAACCTGGTTTCAGAATCAGCGGATGAAGTTTAAACGAACCCAGAAGGAAGCTGTGTGGATGAGAAGAGGAATATGCCAACCTCAGGTAATAAGGCGGCCCATTTGATGGAGCAGAACTTCTCCAACTTCTGACTGCTTGATGTTCCAGTGTGTTGCCTTTATAGTAGTGCCTGGCCCACAATGTGAGCAATGGGTTGTAGATTCAATCCTTGGCATCTCTAGTAGGGCTGGGAAAAATCCCTGTGAAATCCTGAAAGTGCTGCTACTAAGTTGTCTAGACCAGTGTTTCCCAAACGTTTTTGGGCAACGGCACACCTGTTTACTGAAAAAAATCTCGCGGCACACCACCATTAAAGCCCCGCCCCGTGACGTCAGCGCGCAGCGTCACGCCGGGAGGGACGCACAAAAGTGAAAGTTTTTTCCCTCCCCCTTGCTGGGGAACCTCCAAGCTTTGGGGGTGGGAGGAGGCAGCAGAGCGAGGGACTGAGGGACGGCGGCAACTGAGGCGGCGGCGGCTGAGGCAGAGCTGGGAAGGGGGTTTCCAGGGGACACGGCAGCTCCTCGAAAGGCTTCTCTCAGCTGCGCTCAATCCGCCTCGGAGAGGATTTCCCCTCCGGTCCCATGCGTTCGTTTGGGGCATCGCTCCGGCTGCTCCCTCTCCCGCCGCGCAGGAGCGATGCCTCTCTCTGGCTCTCCCTCCGCGCAGGCTGAGGGAGGGAGGGAGGGGCGCGTGTGACCCGTCTCTGCTGGGAGACCAAACCCAGCGAGGCAGAGTCGCGCGGAGGCGCCCAGGCAGCGCTGCCGGCTGCGAGGAGGAGCGCCAGGCAGCAGCAGGAGGCGCGGCCTCTCCTCGCCGCCGCCGCCCCGCCTCTCGCCGCCCGACTCGCCCGCCTCCCTCCAGGCATCTCGCGGCACACGAGGCAACGTCTCACGGCACACTCGTGTGCCGCGGAACACCGGTTGGGAAACACTGGTCTAGACGATGACTGATGCTGAGATCCTTAGCTCATCTATCTATATAAGGCAGCTCCTTATGGTTTTGTCCCCAAATAAATAGGGCTTTCTAAATCCAACCTAGAACCATAGAATTGTAGAGTTGAAAGGGACCACTAGAGTCATCTAGCCTCACCCCCTGCAAGTCGAGAACCTTTTGCCAAACACAGGGCTTTAACCCACAACCCTGAGATTAAGAGTCCCAAGCTGTACAGACTGAACTATCCCAGCTTGAGCTAAGCCTCCATTTCTAAGCATGGGGAGAGAGGACACAGGTACTTCTCCCCCTTTCATATATTGGGTTCTTCACTGACATGGGTGTCAGCATCAACAAACAAGTATAATGTCCTAATATATGTATCTCACAAAAAAATACAAAGCAGGCCTCAGTATGACAATGGAGCTTTGAAATATTGGTCGAGGGAGCGCGTCTGTTACATAGGGAGGGGCAGTGGCAGATATCCTGACATGAACATGTGATCAAAATAGGGTCCCCTCAGCAGCTGTCATGGATGCTTTAGATGAGATTCCTGCATTGAAGGGTCTTGGACCAGATGACTTGGGGGGGGGGTCCCTTCCAACTCTTAAGATTCTATGATTCCAGGGCCGGACTGAGGTTTGATGAGGCCCTAATCTACTGAAGGTAATGGGACCCTTCATATGTCCAGCTGTCCTTTGTCAAGTACAAATTGTCGCTGTTTTTTTGTGTTGAATATATGCTATATGGTAATTTATGGACCTAATAGGTATCTAAAGCCATTTGCACATAACAAAAAATGTATTTTTTCAAAGTAATTGTTGAACTGAAATCCAGAACGGATTCAGTTTGAGAACCAAGGTACCACTGTACAGTGGTAGCTCGGTTTACAAACAGCCTTGTTAACAAACTATTTGGTTTACCTCAGTCTATGAACAGAAACCAATGGTGGAAAGCGCACCTCTGTTTAAGAATGGATTTGGTTTAAGAACGGACTTCAGGAACAGATTAAGTTCGTAAACCGAGGTACAACTGTATATAGAAATGAGCAAACCAGTGATATTTTAGGGAGCAGGCTAGTAGGCAAGGCCCATTACTTACATCATAGGAGCCTACACAACACAAAACACTGTTGCTGTATGTAGGTTTTATTTTATTTCTTTTTTATCTTATATTTTGGAAATGTACATCCAGGTGTTTTTCCTTTAACTTTTTTGGGGGAGGGGGCCAAGAGTGGGGCCCTAAGCTATAGCTTGTTTAGCTTATACTGTACGTAAATCCGGCACTGTATGATTCCATGAAAAGGCCTGTTCCTAAAAGTCCAGGAGAGTGAGTCTCACACACCCATCTATTCCTGGGTCACTTCTGGGGGCATGAAAATAACTAAACAAACTGGGAGATTTTAAACCTTAGGCTATCTGTTGGGACTACACCCACAGTGGCCTCAGACAGACCTGACACAAAGTAAAGACATCTTATCTGTCTAGTTTCCTGCTTGGCAGGGGGTTGGACTCGATGGCCCTTGTGGTCTATTCCAACTCTATGATTCTATGATTCTAGACACACCATTTTTAATCATTATTTTAATGTGGAGTGTATGTAAGTTTGAAAACAAACACCCTATTCCTTCAGAGCCGGGATGGATGGTCTTATGGAGCGTTTACAGTTCAGGACAATATTTTAATAGAAAATTTGTACAATTTAATATAAAAAGGTGGGAGTTCAGTTAGGTCAAAAGGGTCTGTCTTACACTGAACTATCCTCTGCCATGAACACACAGGGTGGCATCGGGCACACCAATACTGGTCTCCACCCTCAATCTCCAGATGGGAATGATTTTTGCCTAACTTCTAAAGTTGCCTGAAGGACAACTGAGATAACAGATAATAATTTAATAATAATAAATTATTATTTATAGCCCGCCCATCTGGCTGGGTTTCCCTAGCCACTCTGGACTGCTCCGAACAGAAAATTAAAAACATTATCCTTGACATCTGATGGGAGGGCATTCCACAGGGCAGGTGCCACCACCAAGAAGGCCCTCTGCCTGGTTCCTTGTAACCTCACTTCTCGCAGGGAGGGAACCACCAGAAGGCCCTCAAAGCTGGATCTCTGTGTCTGGGCTGAACAATGGGGGTGGAGATGCTCCTTCAGGTATACTGGACCGAGGCTGTTTAGGGCTTTAAAGGTCAGCACCAACACTTTGAATTGTGCTTGGAAACGTACTGGGATGCAATGTGCTTCTGTAGACAGGTGATGTCTCAATGCTAAGCGTTGCTATTTGGGTGTGTGTTGAAACATTGCTACTTTTCTCTTTACAGAACGGCTACCTGGACATAAACCCCAGCTATCACCAAGGATACGCCATCAACGATGCTAGGAATATCCATTCATTGGCCAATGCCCACGAGAACTACGCCAGCAATCCTGTCGGCGTCAACAACCAGAACTATAGCAGCGATCACAGCCAGATCTACGGTAGCCCCCAGAGTCTGTGTCCAGTAGTGGGAGAAGGAGAGGATGGAGGCTTCTTTGGGAAGGCTGCTGGGCCCTGTTATGGCCAACAGGCACTCGGGTACATCAGCCAGCAAAGGATGAACTTCTGTCACGGTTTCTCTGCAAGCCTGGAGTATGCTGCTGTGAAGATGGAGGGTGGATATCCTTTTCCCAGTGTATCTGCCACTGCACCAGGCACCTCTGTCCTGCAACATTATCAGACAGACCCTCTTGCAAACCCAAGGACACCAGAGCAGCTCTAATTCCAGACTTTAGGTTCTCTCCCTGCCACCCAGGGCTCTCATTCTTTTACTGCTTTCTCTTCAGATTCTCTTGCTGCAAATAGGAGTCCCACTCCTATTGTCCCACCTCCTTCACTGGCATCTGTGAGGGATCTTGGCACTTGAAAAAAAAAACAGAAAATGGGCAGTTTTATTGCTGTCTTCTGACTCAGGGGCTGTGTGTTTGTGTGTGTGTGTGTGTGTTGCATGTGCGGCTCTGAACTTGGCTTTCTTCAGTTCATCCTGGCTGGCTCCAGGAAAAGGCACTCGATGTGTATGGAAAACCATGTTCACGAAGAGGAATCTGCAAATGTTAGAATTAACCGTGCTCCCATCTCCCATTGGTTGCCTGCTGTGTGAGTCACTTCCTCAAGAGCTCAAAATTTGGCTGCCCCTCTCCAACCCAATTTGAAGGCAGCTTCTACTCTTTAAAAAAATGGACTCTTTTTGTTTCTTTCCCCATTATTCTCTTTGATCTTTCATGAAAGATATTGTTTCTTTCCTAACAAGAGAGCATTTACTCTTGCTTCAACTGCCTATCTGTTAAGAGTAGGATGACTTGGGGGTAGAGGACAGAACTTCTGGTTTAAGGTACGTCCACTACATGGAAGCAAAGGGGTTGCCTTTCTGACCTATATGACAACCTGCTGCTATTGAACCTGTCCTCTACTTCATCTCTTCACTTGAGGAGACCTCCAAAAACATAATGGACAGAGCCAGATCAAGGTGAAAAGTGAGGTTTTCTTTATTTTGGCAGGAAACACTGTAGGGGGTTCTTTATTTCCCCTTGCACCACAAATCTTCAGGCAATAGCAAGGGATGACCTCTGCAGGTTCTCTTCGATCAGTCCTGGAAGGACTGCATAAACAATCCCACAGTAACCCTCTAGCCAAAGGCTCTCTTAGGTAGGGCTTGGTTGCTGATGGCCAACTTGGAACTTAGTATTACACGCCCCCCAATTTTATTATAAAATATTTCATTCACCAATATGACAAGACCTATCGTCATAGGGGATCTACTGTAGCTGCCAGAAAAGATGGCGGCTTGTGTGCTTTTTTAATGTGACACTGCAGGACACTGTTGATTTTTCCTCTGGCTAGCCTTGCTTTTTAAAGCCTTACTATGTAGTGATTACTGGAAGGGGGAGGAAACTTCTGCCTCCTATCCAGGCATACTGTGGACCTACCTGCTTAGCAGCTGCCTAACTGCCTAGATTAGATTTTCTTTTGGAATGAGGGGAGAGTTAATGGACTTGCCAAATGTTTTTAGTGTTTCATATTCTCGTGGTTCATGTGTTTGCATACAGAACACACCTGCTTTCTAGTTAACAGTGTTTACTATATTGCTGTCTCATTTTTAATCTGCATAAGGCATTGGTGTTATGATTGGTTAGTAAAAGTGCATCCTGATAACCGTGTTTCTGTTTAGCTTTTTTGTTTTGTTTAAATAAGCCATTGGCAAGTATTTGCAGCTGTTATTGTACAAGAACCTTGTGAAGTATAACCTCCTTGCCCTAGGAGAAATGTTGCTAGCCAACCAATATTAGTTTTGTTGAGGTTCAGGAAACCCATTTAAGACCCCCAATTAGCCATGATGCCCATAGACTTTCCTTAACTGAAACAGGCTCTGACTTAATTTCCCGATGATTTCATATATTACTCAGAGCGGCTTGGATTAAGGTTACCTGAGGCTGAAAACTGGTTATCTTCATGCTAATAATAATATTAATAATAATGCAGCCTTCACTCCCTCATAGAGAAGCCTATTGCATCCTTCCCACTACTGGAGCATTTTGTCTATTGTAAACCACAGAGCCTAGGGCTTGCTGATCAGAAGTTCGGCGGTTCGAATCCCCCAAGCTCTCCCATTGCTCGGTCCCTGCTCCTGCCAACCTAGCAGTTTGAAAGCACGCAGTGCAAGTAGATAAATAGGTACTGCTCAGTCATGCTGGCCACATGACCCAGAAGCTGTACACTGGCTCCCTATCAGTAAAGCGAGATGAGCGCCGCAACCCCAGAGTCATCCACGCCTGGAACTAACTGTCAGGGTTCCCTTTACCTTTACTCTGCTACATTTCCCCAAATATTTATGAATGGAAGGGCAAGATATCCCTGCCATGCTGCTTAATTATTTGCAATAGTCTGAAAGGTGAATTATACTCTCTTCTTTAAAATTACACCTTTGTGTCTATAAACTGGTCTAAGCTACTTTTTGAATCCATCTCTGCCACAAGAAGGGAACTCACTTTGAAACTTATATGGTTCCTAACACCCTGGAAGCTGGCAATGATAAACCCAGGAAACTCAACTAAATGCTGGAGAGGTTGCACCAGTACAGGGACATATATCTACATGTGGTGGGAATGTCTCAAAATTCAACACTTTTGGACATCAGTCCTACCAGAAATCTTCAAAACAACAAAAAGAGGTATTAGAAGCAACTCCAAAAATGGCCCTATTAAATATAGAGAACAACATGCACTCAAACTACAAAGAATCCCTAAGCCACCTCAGCAGTTAGGCGCATCATAACTAGACACTGGAGAGGGACCTGTCAGGAGTGAACATGGGCCACTGGTACCAAGCCATATGGGAAACAGCTACTAGAAAAGCTAAGCAACTAATTGAAATGAGTACAGGGGCGAATGAAGGGGATGCCTTCACCCTGTGTGACTCCCGTTCATTACACACACAGCCCAACAAGACAACAGCATAACAAACCCCTCTCTCTCTGACAAAACTCACTGCAAGCAACCGAATGCTGTACATGCACTATGCAAAAGGAAAAATAATTGCCCCTCTTTCTCCCACCCCTCCCCACATCTTTCTCCCCACCCCCAACATCACAATGCCTATGATAGCAATGTCTCACACCAAATGTAACTAACCTGTACATAGGATTCTTGTAAACTGAAAACGAGAGATGTTATATGTACCTTTGTTATCCATGAAAATCTTTCAATAAGAATAATAAAAAATACACCTTGTTTTGGGTGTGGTATGCAATGCCTGGGCTGAAATTGTACCTAGATGCAAATAGAGCCATTAAAGAACATACATGGCGACACACATAATGACAACCTAACATGAGGCAGGCGTCTTGGGATGTTGTTTAGTTGTGTCCGACCCATGGACCAGAGCATGCCAGGCACTCCTGTCTTCCACTGCCTCCCACAATTTGATCAGACTCGTGTTAGTAGCTTCGAGAACACTGTCCAACTATCTCGTCCTCTGTTGTCCCCTTCTCCTTGCGCCCTCAATCTTTCCCAACATCAGGGTCTTTTCCAGGGAGTCTTCTCTTCTCATGAGGTGGCCAAGTATTGGAGCCTCAGCTTCAGATAGACAACAGCAATTGGTAAAACTAAGGAAGTTTTCTTTAGGAGTCAGCAACTTTGGTGATGGAGGGAAGGCAAGGTGGTGCGAGAACAACCCTAATATTCAGCTTATGACCTTCTGGAGGCCAGGAAGGGATTCTTGTTACAATAATAATAATAGTGTTGTGCTTTTTGCCTTACCTGGGGTAACTTCTATAGGCTGGGAGTGGATCCTTTCCTCATGGTGCCGAACCAGAAGCATTGCTGCACTTAAACCCAGGACAATGTTTTTGGGAGTGGCGTCAAAGCCAAATACAGCAATGTCCTGTACAATTAAGTGTTAGTATTAAGCACCTTAATATAGGTGTCAGGACAGCAGTGGGGGAAACATGTTGGAAGCAAAGCAGGTTTTAGAAAAGCCTGCCTTACCCAATGTTTTCCCTAAACAGGAGGGCCTTCTGGGACAGATAGATGGAAAAGGAAAGGCAGAACTGCATACTGTCTTCATGTCACATTAACCTTCATTCTAGATAGGACCAGAGCCTCTAGGATGGCAACTGACACCATAGCCAAGAAAAGAGGAAATATATCACAGCGAGGCTGAGAGAGGGATTTTGTTGTCTGGGCAGCCCAGGACCTCCATGCAATCTGCCCAGACTTGCACCTTAGGGAGGTCAATTTGGTGCTTTTAACACAGCGGTTTGGCTTCACCCCTGGGGGCACACTCCATTGTCTCTCGAGACAGATGGATGCCAACAATACCAATCAGGTTTCACTTCAGGTAGCAGTGATGGACCTTCATCCACCTCCACAGGCCTCACAAGCTGAAAAGTATCCTCAGTAACATGGCTGGGCAATCTTGCCAAAGGTTCATGCGCGAGAAGGAACAGAAATAGGTTCAAGAATCCACTCCCTCCCAAGCAGCGCTATAGGGGCCTCTGTTGGATGAGGCTCAGTAGAAGAAGAGCCTTGGATACGTTAGTCCTGCACAGAAGGAAGAAGCCCGGTTGCTCTGTGGTGATACTACAGCTGCCGTCAGAAGTTACTTTATCCAGCCAACCATCTTTGGAGAAGTGCAGGAGAACATGACCATTGCAAAAGAGAAGGTCAGGAAGGCAACATTTCCCCATACTTGCCAATCTCCCACATCCTGCTGGGATAGCTCAGTCAGCAGAGCATAGAATTAGAGTTGGGAGGGGTCACGGGTCATCTAGTCCAACCCCCTGCAAGGCATGAGACTCTTAATTTCAGGGTTGTGGGTTCAAGCCCCACGTTGGGCAAAATATTCCTGCCTTGCAGGGGGTTGGACTAGGTGAGCCTTCTGGCCCTTTCTACAAATATATGATTCTATCCCATTGTTCTACGTAATGCCTCCTCCCTCTTGCTGCTGCACAGAACCGCAATGGTTGACTCCAGAATTGGCCAAGCTGTAAATGCAGAATTTGGCAGGCCTCTTAAATCTGAACATGATTTATTTTTTATTATCTATTACGATGTTTACTGTAGTGACTTTATCTCACTTGGAGCGCTACTTGTGCAGAGAACACAACTTGTTTCCCCTGATAATTTTATGGTGGGTTTGTGTGTATTTTTTGTAAACCCATCTGAGGTTTTAGTACAGCCGAGTGGTATATAAATATTGTACAATAAATAAAATAGTTTAACCTCTTAGTCTAATGATGCTCCTTTCGCTTGCCCACCTGCTCCACAAATTGCCGCAGTTTTGCAGGTAACGTTGCCCCACCCTACAATATGCAAGAGGAAAATTAACTGTAAACCCCCAAAACCAAACCAGAGACAAACTGTGTGCAATGAAATTCACCTCCCAGTGCAAATTGTTTCACTGCAGGGGAAGAAAATTTTGCATTTCTTCTCTCAGGGCTCAGGAGGGGGCATTGCCCCCTCTGGCTATGTCTGCTCTTTCAGGAAACCTTGGACCAAAGATGTTGATTGAATGAATCGCCAGTCATCTTGCTTGCCTTGTTGTCAACAAGAGGGCAGCCTATGCTAATTCTTTGGCATTTTTCTGTCCTCCTGCATTAGGGGATGAAATTTTGCATGATAAATGGCAAAATCCCTGACTTAAATTTGGGAGATATCACTTCAGGGCTTCAGCTCCAGTAAGTTCCTCTCCTTCCTTGGCATCTAGATAACCTTACCTATCAACTCTATAGGGGGTGCCTTAGACCTTGCTCTTTTCTGTCTCACCCTCAACCCCCAAAATATGGGGATAATACTATATAGCTTCTTATAAGAGCCAACATGACGATGTATGTAGGGAACTTCTGACACTATATAAATGCCAAGTATGATTTTAAAATATCTGAGCAGTGTACTTTGCAAAAGTGACAAGAAACACCATTCTAGGGTGCATTCTAAGAGCAAACACCTGCAAATTATACAGCCACCTTTGTGTAGAAACCACACTTTTTTATATATGCATTTTCATTGAAAGTTTTCAACACATAATTAAAACTAAACTAATGCAAATAAAAATAGAGAAGAAAAGGAAAAGGAAATAAAACAAAAAAGAAAGAAAAAACAAAGAGAGAAAATAGGAGAAAGGAGAAAGGGAAATAAAATACAGAGGGGTGAATATTAATCCTTATGTCACACAGAAGGGGGTGAAGCCTCCCAGCTTTCACCAGGGAGCTTCTAAGATATCACAGTTTTAACACCTGTATGTGTTGTTGTTTTTTAAAAAAGGATTGTTTCTAAGGTAAGACAGAACTTGTTTGCAATCAAATGTGTGCTAAAAAATAAATTCCAGAGAGGTTTGCACAATTAACTTCACCACAGAGACACCCTGGGAAATATGCAGTTTTCTGAATTTCGTAGAAATCGATCTGACAGAATAGAGAGGCAACGTTTTGTTATATATGAAATCTGGGTTTCTCCAAATTCATAAATTTTAGCCATGTGTGTGTGTGTAACAGAAAGGAATTACTTTCACTTGATTTCTACAACTATAGCTGTCTGTTGCAGTAAATATACACACATACACACTATTACTATTACTATTACTATTAATATTATTATTCTGCATACATATTTGAGAGCAACCCTTTCCTTCGAGTAAACCTGGATAGGAATTCTTATCTGACAGAGCCCTAGTTGAAACTGAAGGATGGTCTTTATTGCAGATTAGTCAAATCAGAAGACTTCTGTCTCTGGTTCCACTATCATGCCAATCGTCAGCAGGTTACTCGAGAGAATTCAGCCTTTGGTAAAAATAAAACATAAAAATAAGAATAATGATGAGTTTCCTCTTTTCGTTCCTACTGACCCCTCCCACTGTGTCGTGTCTGGGAAACACTAGCAATACTGAAGGTTGTCTTGCGTTAAGATTCCAAATGGTAGCTGCATGCATTTGCAATGCAACACAGTTTGCAGCTGCAATTTGGAATCCTAACGCAAGACAACCTCCCGTGGTAATTCACTGGTAATCCACTCTGCTTTCAATGCAGTGCAGGACACATCATTGCCAGTGAATGGATATAGTATACAGTGGTACCTCGGGTTAAGTACTTAATTCGTTCCGGAGGTCCGTTCTTAACCTGAAACTGTTCTTAACCTGAAGCACCACTTTAGCTAATGGGGCCTCCTGCTGCCGCCGTGCCACCGGAGCACAATTTCTGTACTTATCCTGAAGCAAAGTTCTTAACCTGAAGCACTATTTCTGGGTTAGCGGAGTGTGTAACCTGAAGCGTATGTAACCTGAAGCATATGTAACCCGAGGTACCACTGTATTACTACAGCAGAGAGAGAGACACAAAGTGAGAGAGAACATTAAAACTGCTTGAGCCTGTTAGGGTAGGATTCGAGAGATGCACACCCTACAGTATTTCACATATGCAAGAGTGTAACTTGCAAAAATTTTATTTTTAAAAAACTATTATCCTGAAACAGGGGGGGGAACTGTTTCCAAATCCAAATAATTAGGACTTTCTTTTGTTTTCTACATTATCGATGACTCTTGTTATCTATTATTTTCCCAAATGGACTAAAACACTTACCTTCACCTGGTGACAAAATCCTGAAATTACAATTTATTTCTTCCCACTCCCCATTTGCTGCCATCTGGTGAACGGAGCTATACCGTCAGGTACACAAATATGCTCACCCCCTGCCCCAGTCACAACCTCCAGCTTTACTTAGATGAATGCTCTCTCTTTTTTCGGTCTTCTCACTGTGCAGAAGTGAGAGTTGCTCATAGAACATAATAGAGAAATGCAGGAATATAGCCCAACTGTGAAAGCGCAAAAGTACCCCCACCCCATCAAAAATGAAGAGGACAGGATCTATTGCCTTCCTCTAAACCAGTATTATTTTTTGTCAACAATGTGATTATTTAAAAATGCAACACATTTAAAAGAGCAACATGTGTGCACTTCTGTGGAACAGAAGGCTTCTACATTCAGCTGAGCGCTGAATTTGGGCTGTGAGATCCAAAGGAGCAATTTGCTGTATCTCAAGAGTATTTTGGGCTGGAAATCCGAACTAGCCTCAGTGCATGGAGTTAGGTAAAGGTAAAGGGACCCCTGAACATTAGGTCCAGTCGTGGCCGACTCTGGGGTTGCAGCGCTCATCTCGCTTTATTGGCCGAGGGAGCCGGCGTACAGCTTCCGGGTTATGTGGCCAGCATGACTAAGCTGCTTCTGGCGAACCAGAGCAGCACATGGAAACGCCGTTTACCTTCCCGCCGGAGCGGTACCTATTTATCTACTTGCACTTTGACATGCTTTTGAACTGCTAGGTTGGCAGGAGCAGGGACTGAGCAACGGGAGCTCACCCCGTCGTGGGGATTCGAACTGCTGACCTTCTGATCGGCAAGTCCTAGGCTCTGTGGTTTAACCCACAGCGCCACCCGTGTCCCACCCACATGGAGTTAGTTTTGCAGTAAAAGCATGACTTCATTAGTTTGCAACCCCCACACTCTTCTAACCACAGGGTAATTGTGTTTGCAGGGACGCGGGTGGCGCTGTGGGTAAAAGCCTCAGCACCTAGGACTTGCCGATCGCATGGTCGGCGGTTCGAATCCCCGCGGCGGAGTGCGCTCCCGTTGCTCGGTCCCAGCGCCTGCCAACCTAGCAGTTCGAAAGCACCCCCGGGTGCAAGTAGATAAATAGGGACCGCTTACCAGCGGGAAGGTAAACGGCGTTTCCGTGTGCTGCGCTGGCTCGCCAGAGCAGCTTCGTCACGCTGGCCACGTGACCCGGAAGTGTCTGCGGACAGCGCTGGCTCCCGGCCTCTAAGTGAGATGAGCGCACAACCCTAGAGTCGGACACGACTGGCCCGTACGGGCAGGGGTACCTTTACCTTTAATTGTGTTTGCATAGTGCATTAAAAATAGGAATAGAAATTGAGGTGGGGAAAATCCATCACATCTTTTACAAAAATTGACCAGCCTTAGAAAGGTGCACAATTTAGAAGAGGAAAAGGCCTATTTATTGTTGCTTTTATTAAACAATGGAGAGTCTGGATCCCCCTTGACAACTGAGCCTTGCTTTAAACTCCCTACTCCCTTGCCTGCCACTCTGCTTCTGCCACCTGGTGACAAAATCCTGTAATTACTGCCTCTTTCTTCCCACTCCCTGTTCGCTGCCGTCTGGTGAATGGAACCAAACAGCCACTCCAATTCGAACCTTTTCAAGACTCCCATGAGAGGTGGTAGACTCTCCTTCCTTGGAGGTTTCTAAGCAGAGGTTGGATAACCATCTGTCATGGATACTTTAGCTGAGATTCCTGCATTCTGAGACTTTTCTCTCCACTGCACTTAATAATGCAATTGCTCCAGCTCTTTTGTTCTTTGCTGCTGTCAATGGACTGCTCTGCTTACAGGAGCTCATGAGAATGCAAAGATGAACACAAATTTTAAAAACCACCCACATCTGACTAGTAGTGGAACACACTGGACATAAATTGGCATGTTCCAGGGCTGTGCTAGTGGCCCCACTGTGGCTTGTAAAAACCCAAAACATTTAAAAGTCAGAGAAAGCATTTAAGAACCATATTTGTCAGGAAAGCAGTGTTTAATGTCTGGACAAGATATAAAGATTTATTAAAAATAAGACCCCAAGGTGGTTGTCACCATGGAAGCTAAGGCCAGAAAAGACTCAATATGGAGGCCAAGTGGCCGAAATATTGGGAGATATTAGAAAAAGAAGGAGACACATGGAGATTGCAGTTTTGAGAAACTAAAAGATAAAGTGCGAGATTGGTTACATTATGTCAAATTAGGGAGGTCTTGGAGGTCTTTAATATGGACAAAAAAATAGTGAACAGTGGACAGTGAAAGCAGCAATCCCTCTTGCTGTTCTGGCTTCTGGGATAGCTGCGCAGCCTGCATTCACTCCATAGGACGCACACACATTTCCCCTTACTTTTTAGGAGGGAAAAGGTGAGTCTTATAGAGCAAAAAATACGGTACTTAACCCGAGGTACCACTGTACATCTTCAGAATAAGTTTTGGACAGAGCTCCTGTGGAGGTACAGCTCCTGAGAAATTAAATGTGAAGAACTGAAAGGGAGAGGGAATCAAAGAAAATTTCAAGAGAATGGGTGCTTCTTTTTTTTATTCATTTATTCACCATACCTGGCTGAGTCTACATGAACAATACAGTGAAAATCAGGATCTTAGAAGAAAACAGACAATGTTCCTAATGGATCTTTTTCTTTGTTCCACCATCTCCAAAGGGAGATGATAAACTACAGCCACCAAGGCACATCAATGATATCAATTTCCCAGACTCTCCCTTTCTGTTTGCTGGATCTGCTCCTCTGTCAGGACAACAGGCTTGTATTTCTCGTCAAAAAGTTTCTCGTTGGCTTTCGAATGGAGGTTATGGAAAGAAATTGTCCTGAGATGCTCTGGCAGGTGTTGAAACTCCTCCTCGTTAATGTCCGGATCCCGCATTTTGGAGTGCAGAACCCACCAGCGCCCCCAGAAGCCCACGTCAAGGACTTCGTTGGGAACCTCCATCCAGCGTGGCTTCAGGTACTTGCAGTGCGCCTGGTAGAGATCTGCTCCCGCGTCAAAAGGAGCCTCGTAGACGAGGGAGAAGAAGAGCAGGCTCTGGAAGCGCAGCTGGCCCCGGTTCCTCAGCTTCGTCAGCCGCTGGACGTGCCCTTCCGAGCTGCTGCTGCGGGTCCAGGGCGAGAGCAGGAGGAGGGTGCCCGAGGCTTCCAGGAGGCTGGCCTCGAAGGAAGACTCACAGGGGCTGCGGAGGCTGCAGCCCACTGCTCCGGCCAGCAGTGAGAGGTAGAGCCCAGCTTTCCCCGGCCGCTGCCTGACACCCAGAACAACCTCTTTGCAGGCTTCGGCATAGTCGTGCAGGAGGCTCTTGCACCACAAAGCTGTGGATGGGGGGCGGGGGGGGGGGGAGAGGCGGGAAAGAAGAAAATAGGGATGGTAAGAACAGAAGAAGAGCCTGCTGGATCAGGCCAATGGCTCACTCATCTAGTCCTGCATCCTGTTCTCACGGTGGCTAAACCAGATGCCTCTTGTGGGAAACCAGTGACTACGATTTGAGCACAAGAACCACTATCCCCATGGCAAGGTTTCCAGCTGTGGAGGTACAGCACAGCCATCACTGCTAGTACCTGGCCTATGCAGAGGGGGGCAATCAGATGCACTTGCCTCGGGACTCGGTGGGCTAAGCTGGCCAGAGGAGCCCACCAGGGGCCTGCTGGTCTCATGCTGTCATGGCAAGAACGCCCCATGCCTCCCAGCTGACTCAGGGCTCAAACTCCAGGCCTCTGAGACACTCTGCACGGGTATGGCTAGTAGCCTTGGCTGATAGCCTTTTGGTTGTTTTATTTATGTATTTATTTCGTAAGGTTTATACACCTCTTGATTGTAAAAACCCTCACTTTGCGAAAAAACAAAACAGTAAAATTGAGAAAAATTCACAACCCTACTTTAAATCATGCAAAAATGGAAGTACAGTGGTACCTCGGGTTACAGGCACTTTAGGTTAAAGACGCTTCAGGTTACAGACTCCGCTAACCCAGAAATAGTACCTTGGGTTAGGAACTTTGCTTCAGGATGAGAACAGAAATCACACTGCTGCAGCAGCAGGAGACCCCATTAGCTAAAGTGGTACCTCAGGTAAAGAACAGTTTCAGGTTAAGAACAGACCTCCAGAACAAATTAAGTTCTTAACCCAAGGTACCACTGTACTAAAAGAGGTGAGTTGATTTGACTTTCTAACCACCTGGATGTCTCAACAGGAATGCTTTTAGCATGTATAATAATAATAATAATAATAATAATAATAATAATAATAGAGTACAGTGATCTCAATAGGCAGGGAGTTCCAAAGCACAGGTGCTGCCACACTGAACGACCGTGTTCTTACGAATGCAGAACAGGCATTACGTGGCACCTTGAAGGAGTGCCAGTTCCACTGACTGAAATGCAGAGTGGACACCTGTGGGGTAAGGCGATCTGTAGGTAAAGCGGCCCCAACTTGTTATGGATTTTATATGCTAATAGCAACACCTTGAAGCTGGCCCGGCAGCCGATCAGCAACCAGCGCAAACCTCCTGAGCACTGATGCTCCTCCATGCCATGCAGGTCATATTGTGAATCGTGAAGCAGCCCAAAATTTGGCACCCTTCATGACTTTGAATTGGTACCAATATGAATACAGTGGTACCTCAGGTTAAGTACTTAATTCGTTCTGGAGCACCACTGAAGCACCACTTTAGCTAATGGAGCCTCCTGCTCCTGCCGTGCCGCCGGAGCACGACTTCTGTTCTCATCCTGAAGCAAAGTTCTTAACCTGAGGTACTATTTCTGGGTTAGCGGAGTCTGTAACCTGAAGCGTATGAAACCCGAGGTACCACTGTATAGGTTTCATTATGATTACAGGGATTATTATTGTGGTCATTTTGTGTCCCCCTCGTCCAGGGCCAGATTTAGGTTTGATGAGGCCCTAAACTAATGGGCCCTTTATATGTCCAGCTGTCCTTTGTCAACAACAAATTGTCGCTGTTTTTGTGTTACATATATGCTATATGGCAATTTATGGATAGGTATCTAAAGCCATTTGCATATGTCGCCAGTCCATGCAGAATGTAGGCACCCTATATATAGAAATGAGCAAACCAGTGATATTTTAGGGAGCAGGCGGGGCCCATGACTTACATCATAGGAGCCTACACAACACAAAACACTGTTGCTGTATGTAGGTTTTATTTTATTTGTTTTTTATCTTATATTTTGGAAATGTACATTCAGGTTTGTTTTCCTTTAATTTTTTGGGGGGCCCTAAGCTATAGCTTGTTTAGTTTATACGTAAATCCAGCACTGCCCTCGTCTCAGCGCTCTGTGCGGGACAACAGTCCGCACCCCCTTTAATCCGGCGCTGCTCCTTGATTGTCTCTAATCCTCTTTGGGAGAGAGTTCCATAAACCTGACTCTGGTTAAGAGGAACCTGCAGCTGCGTGAGCTCCGCGCCGGGAGGAAGGAAAAGGCGGCGGCCCCGGGCCGAGGCAAAGCGCGCCACAGAAGGGCACCCGCCTCCTCCTCCCAGGGAAGCATGCAGGGGGGCGGCGGCGAACCTCTCCCTCCTTCCCCGCCCGTCCCTCGGGGTGAGGTCTGAGGAAGCGGCCGGCGCTCAGGGCTCGAGCCCAGGCCTCCCCTTCAGCCACCCGCTCGCTCGCCCGCCCGCCTCACCTATGCGGCCGGTGCGGAGCCGCCCCCAAAGGCGCCTCTTCTCCGGGCTCGGAGGATCCGCCATCGCCGGCCTTTTCTGGCAGGACCGCGAAGCCGGACGTTAAAGCGCGACGGACCAGCTCAGCGGAGACCGGAAGAAGGAAGAGAAGGCGAGAAGCGGGAGCTCATAGAGATAGGAAAACCCAAGACTAGCTTTTTTTTAGTATTGTTTTGTTCTCTGTGTAGTTTATACAAAAAAGCGCCGTGTGATCCTAGGACAAAAGGGCGGTATATATATTAAATTATTGATTTATTTCATAACATCTAGACACCGCTTGAGTGATAAAAAAAAGCAAACAAAACACCTCGAAGCAGCTAATAAAAAAGGCGAGAATTAGTGAAAATTTCTGCACTGCAGAGGGTTGGGCTAGATGACCCCCGGGGTCCCTTCCAACTCCCCAATTCTGGGATTCTTCGGACATTTCACAAGCCTGCCCTGCTTTCTTGCTTCTGCCTTGGAGCAGAAAAAACACGCGCAGCTTTAAGTCCCGCCGGGTCGCTTTATGGGCTTCCTCCATCGCAGGCGAAATTACAAGCGCAGCCCCGAATAATCCGTGTCCGTGTGGAAACCCCGCCACGTGACCCACGGGTCCTCCAGTCTCGGCGTTTCCGAGTCTATGAGCGCCAGGGGCACTTTTGACGCGCGCCGGAAGCCGCGAAGGGGCGGCGGCGGTGCCTCGCTGGAAGCTGCGTCCGAGGCTCCTCTTGAGCTCCTGGTGAGGCTGGTCGGACTTCTTTCCCCCCCCACCGCCGCTGAGGGACCCTCGTGGGGCGGGCTCTGCCTGCTAAGCCCCTCCGCTGGGTGACGAGAGCCTCGCCCGGGTAAGGGGCTTCTGGCTGCCGAGGGTGGGCTAAGGTTGTGGGGGGGGTGTCGCAGGCTCCGCGTGGCAAGAGGCCGACCTGTGCTCTCTCTCAGGCCTGAAAAGCACCGCCCGGTCTCTGAGCCTGTGCAGAGTGCCTCCTCTCTCCCCCCCCCCCCCATTGGACAAGGGACTGTGATGCTCAGGGTCCAGGGCTGTTTCCTTCCGTGGCGCAGGCTTGCCATGGCAGAGGGAGGAGAGGTGCTTCCTGGAATATCCCAGAGTTGGATGGGGACACCCAGAGGGTCATCTAGCCCAACCCCCTGCGAGGCAGGATTCTCGACGCCAGTCCTCCCACCCCATACCAGACCCTGCTTAGCTTTGCAAAATGTGCCGGATGTTTTATCTCTACGCCACTAGGAAGCTTGCTGCGGGCATTTGAGCTGCAGCAGCTGGGAACCGTTTCACAGCCAGTGCCAGTGCCAGATTTACATATAAGCTAAACAAGCTGTAGCTTTAGGGCCCCACTCTCTTGGGGCCCCCAAAAAAAATTAAAGGGAAAAAACTGGATGTACATTTCCAAAATATAAGATAAAAAATAAAACCTATATGTTGTGTAGGCTCATAATGGGCCCTGCCTGCTAGCCTGCTCCCTAAAATATCACTGGTTTGCTCATTTCTGTATCAATTACTTTGATAAAATACATTTGTTATGTGCAAATGGCTTTAGATACCTATTAGGTCCATAAATTACTATATTCAACACCAAAAACAGCAACAATTTGTTGTTGACAAAGGACAGCTGGACATATAAAGGGCCCCATTACCTTCAGTAGCTTAAGGCCTCATCAAACCTAAATCCAGCCCTGGTTTCGCCCCAGCCATTTTTCAGTCAGAGGGCTAGCGGTGTCTCTGCCCCCCACTCCAGATGTTGTCAGACTACAGCTAGGAGCTGTTCAACGGTGGAAAATGACTCCCTCGGATGACGGCAGACTCCTTCCTTGGAGGTTTTTAAGTAGCGGTTGGGTGGCCATCTGCCGTGGATGATCTAGATGAGATTCCTGCATTGCAGAGGGATGGGCTCGATGACTCTCAGGATCCCTTCCAGCTCTGCAGTTCTATGATTCTAACTGCCAACGTCCCTGACTGTTGGTTGTGCTGACCTGGGTCTGATAAGAGTCCAGCAACATACGGAGAGCCACAGGTTACCCCCACGTCTGTTTTGAAGCTGCCTTTAACTGCCTCCTGTCCATACATCCCAACCCAACCATCTAAATGTACACATCTGTATGTCTATAATATATGCACCTGCCAGTTCATGATTATGCTTCATGTTTCTGAAGTGGGCTGCAGTGCACAAAGACTGATGCCATAATACAGTTCAGCCTTTAAGGTGCTTCAAAGCTCTTTGATGTTTCTGCCAACGCAGTTTGTTATCTTTTCTAGGATAATCCAGTTGCATCATGGCTGCCCCAGATGAGCTCAAGTTTCATGGTGAGTGTTTTAATTCCCCTGAGTGAGTTATGGATTGTGGCAAGCTTTGGGCTCTAGGCTGTGCAGTGTGCTTTCTCTGCCCACCTCAAAACTTCCCTGTTCATACGTGCCCCACTTACAAGAGCATAACCTTTTCTTGGATTATCTACCTTTCCTATCTCATTAGTCTTCTATACCAGGAATAGTCAGTCTACAGCTCTTGGCGGTGTTAGAAACTGAGATAGAAAAGCTAGGAGCCAAATGGCTTTTGGGACTTGGGTTGTGGGCGCCAAAATCGGCTGTGTAGTTGCTACTGGGTGTGTGTGTGGTTTGACAACACTTTTTATTTATTATTTTGATAAGCATGAACTAAGTGATTCACATAAGTGACAGATAGTTAATGTCACATTTTAAAGCAAAAATTGTTAATACATGTTTCATTTGGTGTTTACAATAAAAATATTGCTACTGTACTTCAGTTTTCAAAACATTCTACTCTTTATTGTTAAACTCCTTAATATATTGTCTATCCTCAAGGCTTCAGAGCACATACATTTCAGTAATCCTCGAGTGTCAGATAGGCGCAAAAAGCAGCACCCAGACTTGCAGAGGTGTTCGCAAATGCAGAAACTTTCAGTGCAAAATGTGCCTGGCGCCCTGCTAATTTCAAACTCTGGCTCTTGGAGAGTACCCACCCCATAAGATAACTTTTGTCCAGCTGCTGAGCACTTGTCTGCTGTTAAGAGGGTTGAAGGAGCAAAGGTTGAACCTTGTAATGGGAGCAGAATCCATTGAAGGCAATGGGATTTACAGTGGAAGCCATGCATGTCTGTTCAGAAGTAATCCTAAACACACGGTAGGGAGTAATCCCCATGGAACACAATGGGATTATTTCTGAGTAATCATGCATAGGAGTAGCTGTGGTGGGGCTTGAACCGGGGCTTTCCTGGCCCACAAACCATCATATACAGCATCTCTCTCTTAGGCTCAGGAGAATATAATGAACAGTACTTGTGGAGAATTTTTGCTTAATGCAAAAAAACCCAACACAACGTGTTGTGAGCAGGCTGGAGGGGTTTTTTTTGGGGGGTGCTGATTTTTCTTTGGTGTAGATTGCTCCAGCTGCCTCTGAAGATAGGTAAGCCTACTTTGATTTCTCAAGGAAACACAAGTTCTTTGGAAGTATTCAAGTTTTGTTTCTACCTTAAGCTAGGGTTGCCATATTTCAAAAAGTAGAAACCAGGACACCCTGAAAGTTGCTGAGCTTTTCTCGGGAAACCCCCTCAAAAAACACAGGTTGAAGCTAGGAGGGAGAAATGCAGAAGTTCTACTCACCAAACAGTGGGGTCCTATACCTGTTCTTTCAGAATTTCAAACATTGCCTCTGGTACCACATACACATGAAATTGTACCTGAAACGCCAGTGTGGTGTGATGGTTAGAGTGCCAGCTTAGGACCTGGGAGACCAGGCTTCAAATCACTACTTAGCCACAAAGCTCCCTGGGTCACCCTGGGCCAGTCGCTCACTCACAGCCGGACTTACCTCATAGGGTTGTTGTGAAAATAAAATGAGGGTGAGGGAGAGCTATGTACGCTGGGATATAAATGTAATAAATCAAAGCAAAGCATGTTAAAACTAGAGGGAAAAGCCATCCAGGTTTTTTCACCTCCTCTGTTAGTGGCATCCTGGGATTTTAAGCACCAGATAAGAAAATGGTGGAGCGACTGGCTTGGCTAACAATTTCTTCCAGACAAATAACTTGGCAGCTCTGCAATAGGCAGAGCAAAAATCTACTTCTGCTCACCTGCAAAACTGCTTTCATTGAGTGTCAGGCTATGGAAGGGCTGTCCTAGCTTTGAGCTACAGGGGCTCTAGAGCAAAATCTGATTGTGCTAGTATTTCTGTCCTGACTGCCTGGCGTATTTTATTTTATTTTATTTTTTGCAGAATTTGACGAAGCCATAGATTTGCTGGCTGAGAATGCAGATGCCACCACTCCTAGCATCAGTGAGCGGCAAAGCCACACAACCGTAAACATGTCTTCCGGCTACAATGAGGAGCCTGAGGCAGAAGAGGAGGATGATAAAACAGAGGTGCTGCTGTTTCAAATTCTGTCCTGCATGTTGATTTATAGCTAGCTGGAGAAGTACCGTATTTTTCGCTCTATAAGACGCACCAGACCATAAGACGCACCTAGTTTTTGGAGGAGGAAAACAAGAAAAAAAATATTCTGAATCCCAGAAGGCAGAACAGCAAGAGGGATTGCTGCGCAGCGAAAGCAGCGATCCCTCTTGCTGTTCTGGCTTCTGGGATAGCTGCGCAGCCTGCATTCGCTCCATAAGACGCACACACATTTCCCCTTACTTTTTAGGAGGGAAAAAGTGAGTCTTATAGAGCAAAAAATACGGTAGCTGCTTTGCGACAGAAAGGAAACATTAGCCTAGCCAAGGGGCTACTTCCTATGGACCTGGAAGAGAGTGGGAAGGAGATAACAGGTCAAATGGGAGCTTTGTTGTAAAGCACAGTGATTTACATAGATAAGGAGGATAGGAGGCATAGAATGCATATTACTCCTGGTCTGTAGCAGTTGCACTGGTTCCCTCATAGCTTCCCAGCCCAATTTAAGGTGCTCTCTCACATTTGTGTTGAAAGCCTAGATGGGGGGGGGGCTCCAAACAGCTGAAAGAATGCCTTATTCCCTATATAGACCAGCTTGGGGCTTAAGATCAGCAGAGGAGGCCTTCCTGGTAGTTCTCCTGCTCTTACAAGTTGGGGGGAGCTTGTGAGATTACCTTCTTGGTGGTAGCTCCAAGAATGTGGACCTCCCTTTCCACAGAAGTTTGTCTGGCTTCTATTGTTTACTTTGAAAAGGGGG